GTATATTTTTAGGTTTCAATTAAAGATTACAAGAGCATTTTTTCTTAAATGACATGCACTGATGAATTGTTCACCACTAAGCTGGCAATGTGAGCTAACAAACTCATATAGTTAGTTTTGATTTCTTGGGGACTTTAACTAATGTTATTAAAGATTAATAAATAATAGTAATACATTTATCTATTAATACATGTATTGTTCATTGTTTGTTCATGTTAAAAATGCATTAACTTATACAACCTTATTGTAAATTGTTACTTTTATTCTAGTCGTCCACATCATATACTATATTATGTTGCATTATATTTAGTGCTGGGCAAAAATGTCTCTTGATTTTTCACATCCAAAACAAAAGTTTGACATAATATATGAGCTTGTACTGTTAATATTTATTATGTTTATGTAATTACGCACATGCATGCATATATTTGAGAAAATGTTTAATAATGTGTGTGTGTGTGAGTGTGTGTGTGAGTGTATATATATATATATACATATATACACACACACACACACACACACACACACACACACACACACACACACACACACACACACACACACACACACACACACACACACACACACACACACACACACACACACACACACACACACACACGTTAAAACAAACCTTAATTTTAAATGCGATTAATCTCAAATAATCTTTGTCCAGCACTGATTGTATTATAAATTACATTAAATTACATAATATTGTATTAAAATAAAAGGGATAAAACTAGCAAACCATGCATTGAAAACCAAACCCAATTAGTCTTACTAACAGGTTTAGTGTGCATCCTGTCCTGTTAGCTGCTCTTTGAGTTGTCGTTTGAGAGCTTTTTCCCCCGCTGAGGGCCTGGCAGAGTGGCTGACTCTCTGGGTGACTCCAGGGGGAAAACTAAACCAGATGGACACATAGAGACTCAGAGCTCTACGAGGAAAAAGCTCAGCTTTCCAACCGGAAATCATGGCATTACTCACCTGGGGCTACGCTCCCGCTAACCAGCCCCAGAGAGAAGGTGGAGAGGGAAAAGTAGGTGTCCTATGAGAGCATTAGGGTTAAATTGATTGTGTATGTGTGCTCATTCTACAGAGCTGCCATTTGTAGAAGAAAGCAAAGAGTAGCAGGCCTTTAAATCAGTAAGATCTTAAGAATTAATGACAATTAAGTAGCACTAATCGCTGGAACATGTTATTATTATTATTATTATTAAATCGAAGCCTGAATAGTGTGTGGGGAATTAAATAATGAAACTAATGTTAGACAACATTCAAGCTACTGTATGCTACCAAAGATACAATATAATTATTTTTCTTTAAGCATTCTCTAAATAAATTAAATTTATAATAGTTATGTAATAGTTACAAATTATTGGTTTGAGTTGAAATTACAGTATTATGGGAAAGATAAAAGAGACAAGTGTGATATTACACTGGCATCAAGAAAATTAGCTGTCTTAGAGAGGGACAACGGTCAAACATAAACATTTAAGTGATCATCATACAAATATTTTTGCTCACAATGAGCCACAAATGACCAATTAGAATCGTCACTTCATTTGACTTTATGTGAAATTGTTAAAAAGAATCTATCTTAGATTTGGACTAAGAAACCTAAGAAGCAACTGAGGAGTCTGGAGAAGCAGGAGCACAGGATGGGGAAACTATCAGTGTGTAATGACTCAGAGAGATGAGAAGGATACTTACCATAAATTTTACTTTCAGAGCTTTTGTAAAGAAAATCTCTACAGACTATACAGTTACTAAACTAACAGACAATAACCCAGAGTACCAGCAGCCTACACACAGAAAGAAACAAAAGGTGATTAATGGCTTGAGGTATGAGGTCAGCCTTTGTCAGTTGTGAGGATTTTGATTCTGCAGCTCTAATCAGGCCTAGAGATGTCAACACTAAAAGACTTAGACAAATACATTAAGGTCCAGTTACATTAAACTTCAACAGTAAATCAACGGACCCTGTTCAGAGACTTATCTATTTCTAAATAATACATACTGTATCTACTTTATTAAAATAGCAGTGAAGTAAATCAACATTACCATTGACATTTAAATAAAAAGTAATTAAAATACAAACATGAATAAGATGTAAATAAGTTTCAAAAGTATTTCAAGGAATTTAAAAAGGTCTTTTTGGTTCTAAAAGTTTCAAGCAAACAAACAAATAAATAAATACATACATAAATAAATAAAGATAAAAGCACTCCATGACTTTCCTTGAACAGGAAGGAAACAACTGATGGACAAAAAGAGTCTCCACTGTGCACCCTCTCTCAGTCAGCACACATCCAAACACCGGATGAGGATAATGTACTGACAGTAAATGGCCTTAAGTGTAAGACCATGATTAATGCTCGCTGTCAATCTCATTTGCCTCCAGGTGGAAACCTTTATGAGAAACAAGCATTTCCTCTGTCGAGTAAAGGGATAAAAACACATGCGCACGCACACAGAACCCAGTAAACACTGTAATCCAGAGGGTTTTAAAAGTCTTGCTCTCTTGTAATTCGATAATGTTTATAATGCAAGAGCAGTCAAGCATTACAAGGACTGTGCCATTTTTATAGTTATTAGGCAAGATGTATTTACATGATGACAACACTAATCTTAAGGATGCAGAATATCGGATTTTGCTGATGTCATTTCGGCCAATTCACATATAGTTTTCCCATTTGTTTCAAAAGTGTTACTTTATTTATTGTGCATAATCAGCACATCATCTGATCAGCTATACACTGATTTACACTCACCGGCCACTTTATTAGGTACACCTTACTAGTACGGGGTTAGACCCCCTCTTTTGCCTTCAGAACTGCCTTAATCTTTCATGGCATAGATTCAACAAGGTACTGGATTTCCTTGTTTCTCTGTATGTCGTGTACATGTGGTTGAATTGACAATAAAGATGATTTTGACTGTTTGACTTTGATCTCCTATTCCAACACATCCCAAAGGTGCTCTATTGGATTGAAACCTGGTGACTGTGAAGGCCATTTGAGTCCAGTGAACTCATTGTAATGTTCAAGAAACCAGTCTGAGATGATTCACGCTTTGTCATGCATAAGCTTTATCCTGCTGGAAGTAGCTATTAGAAAATGGGTACACTGTGGCTATAAAGGGACGGACATGGTCAGCAACAATACTCAGGTAGGCTGTGGTGTTGACACGCTGCTCAATTGGTACTAATTGGCACAAAGTGTGCCAAAAAATATTCTCCACTGCACTCAACTGCAGCAGTTCATCTTGACCATGTCTAAATGCCTAAATGCATTGTTTTGCTGCCATGTGATTGGCTGAACAGAAATTTGCATTAACATGTAGTTGTACATGTGTACCTAATAAAGTGGCCAGTGAGTGTATTTTTCCATATTAGCCACAGCTAATGATTACATTTTAAAGTGTGGCAAATTACATATCTATATACATAGGTCACACTTTGCAATGAGATTTCATGAGTTAATGTTAGTTAATGTATTTACTTACATGATCTAATTATGAACAATACTTTTTCATCACTTATTAATCATAGTTCAACATTTACCACATGTAATTTACTACAGGTACATGTGCAGACTCAAAAGGTTTCAAGCTTTTGCAAAAGCAAAACTGTTTACTTAAATAGTTAATTATTATTCCCAACACAATAACATTTTCAAGCAGTTTCAAGCACTTTACCCAAAATCTAAGCACTTTCAAACCTTGAAAACAATAAATTAAAATTCAAGCATTTGCTAATATTTCCAGCATCCATACGAACCCTGAAAATCAGACCTGGAGACTTGGGCTCTTTTGAAACTGACTAGAGAGCACGTACTAGGACTATATTCACATGGCTGGATGTGCAATGGGAATATAGTTGAACAGGAGCCACAGATCAGAATATGTGAGAAATATGGAGTCAGAGTTTAACCATAATAGAGCCAAAGTTTACCATTCGCATACTTTAAAGGTCTGTCGAAGTGCTTTGAAATGTGCAAAACTGAAAAAAAAAATGAATAGAGAGTGAGGCAGAGAGTAACTCCTTCTCTTTAAAAAAAAAAAAAAAAAAATGTAAAATTAAAAAGCTAATAACGCTTTGTTTTTATCACAGTTCTGCCAGTGAGTGGTTGAGCTCAATCGGATCACATAAAAAGCAAATGAGACTCTTCTTGAAGGGGGCGAGTCAAATACAAATGAGCATTTGATTGGTCAAGAGAGACTCAACTATGAGGTGTTGTGAAAAACAAACAAACAAACAAAAAAAAAAAATTAAAAAACAATCTATTTAGTGAAAGTGACAAATTGCAAGATTTGGATATTTATATCAGTTTTACATTTTCTAAAAGAGAATTTTGTCACTTTTTTGGAGCACAGTGGTTTATGGATACCCTTAAAATTAACAGACTGATACTAACACCTTAAAAACTTTATCTTATTTCATGGGACATTGCTATTAATCTAAATTAATGCATTTTTTCATAATCACAAAAAAGCAAAATATCGCAACGTCAGATTTATCCAATATTGTGCAGCCCTAGCACCTTCCTAACCTAGAAACCACATAGCAAGGCTGTTAACACAGGAAGGCTGTGAAATCAGCATATATCATAATGACGCTCATCTAAATCACTAGAGCTAAATGAACTGACATTCCCACTCAGACCCGAGATACACCTCACTTCAACGATCCCTCTCTGTGAGCATGTTGAGGTGCCAAAGCTGACCGCATGCCGCATGGGCTGAGGCCAGGACACACCGCTGGATGCCTTATAAGTCTAAAAACCTCTTTCTGCCTCTCATCATCCATCCAATACTCCCCCTCTCCTTCTTCTGTTCTCTTCCAGAAGATGTCTAGAGCACTAAATCTATTAGCAAGCACATTCTTGTGTTTTTGTGTCTTCACTCAATAATGAAATGAAAGAAAGCAAACCGCCAGACTGTTGCAGATAAGAAAAAGAGAGAGCGGCGAAGGAGAAAAGGAGATTATTTTCTTAACTCACCTTAGTGAAGAATACTGAGAGGTGAGTTTCGCTGCCAAGGATCCAAATAGGGAACTTTGGAGATTTGAGAAATGCGCCAACCTGCAGAGCAGAAAAAAAAGAAAAGGTGGTTGAGCGCCAATCGCAATACCGATGGCATGACGGCCTGGTCAGCCACATTCCACCCTATCACAAACAGGTCGATTCACTGCGATAAAATGATTGGGAATACTTACAAAAATTGCCAACTATTCAATCATTCAGCTTTTTTTTTGGAATACAGCTGTTATGGAATACATGAAAATGTTTTGTATTTACTTATTGCCTTAGACTACAGATACACTCACCAGCCACTTTATTAGGTACACCTGTCCAACTGCTTGTTGAAGCAAATTTCAAATCAGACAATCACATGGCAGCAACTCAATGCATTTAAGCATGTATACATGGTCAAGATGATCTGCTGCAGTTCAAACAGAGCATTAGAATGGGGTAGAAAGATGATTTAAGTGACTTTGAACGTGGCATGGTGGTATTTTAAAAACTTCTGATCTACAACCATCTCTAGGGGTTACAGAGAATGGTCCGAAAAGAAAAAACATGCAGTAAGCGGCAGTTCTCTGATTGCAAATGCCTTGCTGATATCAGAGGTCAGAGGAGAATGGCCAAACTGGTCCGAGCTGATAGAAAGGCAACAGTAACTCAAAAAACCACTCAATACAACTGACTGAGGTATGCAGAAGAGCATCTCTGAACACACAACACGTGCAACCTTGAGGCAGATGGGCTAAAGCAGCAGAAGAACACACCGGGTGCCACTCCCTTCAGCTAAGAAAAGGAAACTGAGGCTACAATTCACACAGGATCAGCAAAATTGGACAATAAAGATTAGAAAAACAATGCCTGGCCTGATAGGTCTTAATTCCTGTTGCGACATTCAGATGGTAGGGTCAAAATTTGGCGTCAACAACATGAAAGCATGGATCCATCCTGCCTTGTATCAACGGCTCTGGCTGGTGGTGGTGGTGTTATGGTGTGGGGGATATTTTCTTGGCACACTTTGGGCACATTAGTACCATATGAGCATTGTGTCGACACCACAGCCTACCCAAGTATTGCTGCTGACCATGTTCATCCCTTTATAACCACAGTGTACCCATCCAGCTACTTCCAGCAGGATAACGCGGCATTTCGGTAAGCATGATTCAAAAAATACTTACAAAAATAAAGCAATGCATTTAACATCACTGCTTAAACAACATTTTGTTTTCATAAATAAAAAAAATAAACATATGATTACAAACAACGCTAGTATAGTTCTGTACAAGAATGGCTCGATAGTAAAAAAGATCACAGATCTACATACAAAAGAGGCATGCATCACTTCCACAAACAAAAGCCCACAAAAACTGGCTGAGATGAGACAGCAGCTTAACACAAAGCAGCAGAATATTGAAGAAATAAGAGCTGTGAAGGGTAAGTGTAGCTCTGCATACTCTAACTCCAGCTGTTCATCTAAACACTGAAAGCCCTCACACTCAGCTCACATCACTCAACAGGTGAGTATCAGCAGCAGACTTGGGCAGAGAGGTGTTTCAGGCGTGTGCGGATTAAAAAGATCATGAATATTGAGATTGGGGCTCAGATGGTGCTAAATATGAGGTGACACATTCCTGCGTTCCTCTAGTCCAAACACAGCTCACTACACATATCCTGAAGCTGTGTTTAGTAAAGTGCCATTCAAAATACAGCAGCTTCTTAATTCCTTTCTCCACAGGTTAAAACAATAGAGCGATTCCTGTCCAGGCTCATAAAACAAGCAGAATGTGTGCGCCAGGTGCCAAAACCTCACCCCAAAACACTGGCATGCTGAAAGGTGTTAGAGAGCAGGAAGGCATTTAGCTTCTGAAAGCAAGGACTAAAATTAACACTCATTAAGCTCCAAATTAAAGTAAAAGGTGGCATTACAAGTATATTACACTGCTTCCTTTCTTTTTTATTCTTAGCCAGAGAATGCAATATAGTTTAGTGTGATTATGAACTCACAAAGACTGAGTTAACATCAGCAGCTACTTTTTTTTGCCTTACAGTAAACAGAAATTTATTTTAAAAATTAAGAAAAAACTTGCACTTGCAACTTGCACACCACAAGGGTGGATTTAGTGATTTGGGGCCCAAAGCAATTCCAACTCCATAGGGTTTGAAAGTTCTAAAATGCACCTTTAGTACTTAAATTTATTTTAATTGATTTATTTAGCTGTTTTTATTCTTATGTCACTCAATCTCCTTTTCTACATTTTGTCCTAATGCAAAATAATAACAACAACACATTAAGAATCTTGAAAAACTATTTAAATGATGTGTTTTCCTAAAATGGATTCACAACAAAAAATTATATATAAACTATGTTGTTAAAACTAAATCTTTACCTAATTTCAGTGCTCCATGATTGAGGGTGGGGGACACATTTGCGATGTAATAAACATTAAACTTATTTTTTTAGACCCTCATCATACAGAATATGATAGAAAATTATGTTATAAATATAAAATTTATAGGTATAATTTATACTTCTAGGTATTTATGTGGGGACCCTCAGATTTCCTGGGGCCATAAGCGACCGCTTACCTTGCTAATTGGTTAAATCCATCCCTGACTACACCTTTTCCCATGATTAAGGTTTCTCTTTTTTGACAACAAAATTAAACACAATGCAAAATTTCAATTTCACATTTTACAAAATTAAGCTCTATGATAATGTTGGAAAACAAACAAAAAAAGACTAATTTAATCAGTTATAACCACAGCCATCGTACATGCTCTCATCATCACTATAAAGACATTAAAATCTTGAGCAAAATCTTTTTGTGCTGTCTTTGCCAATTTTTTTCTGCCTGGTATTTGACAACTTATTACCATTTACAATGCTTATGTCCTGCAAATTGTCATTGACAGGTCTGGAAAAATATTAGTTTTAGGCTTTGTCTGAAATCAATCAATCAATCAATCAATCAATCAATCAATCTATCTATCTATCTATCTATCTATCTATCTATCTATCTATCTATCTATCTATCTATCTATCTATCTATCTATCTATCTATCTATCTATCTATCTATCTATCTATCTATCTATCTATCTATCTATCTATCTATCTATCTATCTATCTATCTATCTATCTATCTATCTATCTATCTATCTATCTATCTATCTATCTATCTATCTATCTATCTATCTATCATCTGACTATCCATCCATCTTTCCATCTTTTTATTTTTTTAGTATATACTGGGTTTCTGCAGGTTTCACCATGTCAAATAACACTATTTAAGACCTTAAGATCATAAAGAATGAAGTTTCAGACCTATATAGGGCTAAACGCTGATGATATTTTTAATGGCCCAGCAGAAAAAATATTTTTTTTTACTTGCCCTATCAAAACACTAATCCCAATTAGTTATTTCTTAGCCAGTTTTTTAAATAATGCATCAAAACAAGCAGCCTCAAGATTTTTACATAGATATTTTTTCAACATAACTTTATATAAGTTTTTAAATAGTTCTTTTTTTTAAAACTAAATGTATGTGCAACAGGCTTAGAGTATTAGTTATAAATAAAGTTTTGCTAAAAACTTTATTAAAATGAATTGTTGGTTATTCGATGTGTGTTGGAGCGATTGGATAGCTTCATATAAACAAAGAAAAATTAAGACCCATTTAAAATAATTTAAGACCTACAAGACAATATTTCAGTGAATTTAAGGGCTAAAATCTAGGTTTTGAAATGCAAGACATTTTAAAACCCCGCGGACACCAAGATATAACTGATGGCATTTGTTAAACTGTGTGAAGCATGCTGGAATGACAAGTGTCACCTGATTTTACAATACAGTCAGGATTTTAGCACGTTATTATGTTACAAACACGTTTCACAAATTCCCTATGAGATGTTCAGCTAGAAAATAGCAAAACCACAAACACACTGTGAGTTTTGGCATGCGCACACCCTGCATCTCTCACAAAACCTGATGCCAAAACTGGCCTCCAGATTTATCAGCAATGCAGATAGAAGTAACATCACTTATACTCCAATATTATAACAGTAAGTATGGTGTTGTAAGCTTCTGTCAGGCTGTGTATGAAGAGATACCCACCTTACAATAGCGCAGTGACTCCATTAGTGTGAGGAAACCAACAGAAGCCTGCTGATAAATACCGTGAAGCTCTAGAGAAATCAAAAATAAAGCAATAATTAAACTTCAGTTTACCGTACTAAAAAAAACAAAAACAATCTAACATAAAACATTCATTCAAATCTAAACCAACTTCTTGAGATTTTAAAGACAATGTACATTACATTCATTTAGAAGACAGTTGATAAGTATGCTGTAGTTTGAGCAAAATGTTAGCTTATGCTGCCATCAAGTGGTCTGTAACAGCATGATGGCAGATAACTACATGTAACTGTGAGTTCTTAAAGAGCCCATATTATGGGTTTTTGAAAATTCCCCTCCATGTAGTGTGTAACACAGCTTTAAGTGAAGTGAAGTATCCAGCTAAGGCTTAAATCTGTAAGTGTACAGTGTTTAAAACGGTTGATTCATCTATAAAAGAGTCGACTCATAATGCTTCAAACGAGTCGCCTTGATACCGAGTCATTAGGTGTTTCGCCATGACGTACGAACGAAACCAAGTTATTCACGTGGACGCGCAAACCCGGGAGATTTCAAACCTGAGGCCCCGCCCTCTGACGCAGAATCCCAGACACACACACACACCCACAAACACACGCACACAAACATGCCGGTCGATTGAAGTCACACTGCAGATGGATATTATCGAGGGTCTACCCAAAGATGAAACCTCAGCATTATAACCAAGCAGTTGGAAACTACTGAAAACTTCTGGAAACTACATGCTACAAAGAATACTTTATCAGGGTTTGTTAAAGGAAGGATCAGTAAAGAGTAACTTACTGATGGACGTCAGGATTAGTTATTTCCTCCATTTCTCAAGTGTAAGTACGTGCGATTAAAATTGCCTCGTTGACTCTAGCTTGCAAATGTATTTAGTTGTGATTTGTTACTTGTAACCGCGTGTACTGTATCAGGTTAACTGGCTATATTCTCTTATCGCGTGCCAAGTCACGTTAAAAACGCGACGCGTGCTGCTTTGTTTATGGAGCTCCGTGGAGGAGTAGTATGTGTGTGCGCGTGCGCTGTCGTCCGGAGGTATGTGTGTGTGTGCGCGCGTGCGTTGTCGTCCGGAGGTTTGTGTGTGTTTTTGTGTGTGTGTGTGTGTGTGTGCGCGCGCGCGGAAGGACGAGGGCAGTGTGTGTGTGTGTGTGTGTGTGTGTGAGAAAAGAGCAGAGTGAGACAAGCTATGTGATCTCCCTGACAGTTTTTGCTCAATAAAATAGTCGTCTGAATTTTCAAGTCCATAGTCTGTATTTACATTGACATAGCGTGTATGAACTGTGATTACTTTTATATTGCTGATTAGCTGTTTGGCATTTCACTCTGACTGAAGGCAGTCGACCAATCGCAACAGGCTGTCATTGGTCCAATCAGCGCAGATTAGCTTCGCGCTAAGGAGGGGTTTGGGAACAAATGAATCACTGGACGATTCATACAGGAGTCGCTGGGATAATCAGGTAAAAATAAATGCAGATTATAAGACCATGAAAGTGTTTTTTGACCTTGCATGCGTATTAGACTGTTGTTGGAGACCCTTACAACCAGGATATGACCCTATTTCATGTATAATATGGGCTCTTTAAAAACAGCAAGTATGTCTAAACAGTATTATTGAAAAAAAAAAAATTATGAAACATACTCATTCCAGAACATTCTCTATCGCCGTCCCACACGTTAGACACAGCATGACCAGTCACCAGCAGGTTAATTAGACTCTGGCTACAAGAATAAGCATAAAAAAAAAACTTGTTAAGATTTAGATTAATACAGAACAGTCAGCATTCAACATAAATATGCATGAAATCTTTTACACTTTAAATGTGCTGAGAACCCATAATTATACTACAGTAACAAGATTAATCTGTCAGGCTATAACCAAAGAATAAGACATTCGGGAAAGGATTTTACCTGCCGTGGCCATAAACAGGGTCGATCAGAGGTTCAGTGGTGTCTTCTATCTCATTCTTTATGTTTTCAATCCCCTTCAAAACAAGTTGATAACAAGTCAGATAACAAAATTCAGCAAAGCCACAGTAAATTTATCAAGAGACAAACAATAAGACTTGATTTTACATGATTATTATTTTATATATTTATATTATATTTGTTTTTGGATTTAGGGATTTTGAATGAAAGATTTTACTTTTTTGCATCTGAATGATATCTCAGTAATGGGTAAAGCACTTGAGAATACTACGTGAATACACACAGAAACACACATGAAAAAAAAAGTTACTCCTGAGTATTTTACAATCAAAAATGGCTGCACTGGAAAATTATTTCATATAGCTGAAAATTTTGAAACTGGGCTTGAAACTCAATCTTACTGAAAGCTCATTTGTAAGATATTTTCAATCTAAAATTTGTATATATGATCTTTTCTCAGCTTTAAATGAACTTATCATTTTTAATAATCCGTGTTGCCCTTAAAGACACCAAACCAAAAATGTGTACTCTAAAAACACAGTTTCAAATAATTAAAAATATATATTTCTATTCATCAGAAAATCCTGAAAAAATGTATTATAGTTTCCACAAAAAATATTGAGATAATATTCATAATAAGAATAAATGTCTCTTGAGTACCAAATCAACATATTAGAATGATTTATGATGTGTAACAGAACATTAAGTCATACCTTTGTAAGTATGACAGAGTACAGGAACAGCAGAACTCCAAACTTATTCTTCCAGGTGTCGTACAGTGACAGGACTGCCTCTTTCAGCTCTGCAACTGTCCTGAGAGTCCTCTTCCTGTGAAGGGAGCAATCACAATGTGTCTTTCCTAATTGACAACTGATAATTTGATCCTGATGGTTTTTAAGATGACTTCTTAACTTCATTTTGAAATGAGTCACTTCTTCATCGCTTTGCTGGCAGGAGTTAATACTTTTGGAAGCACAAGAAGAGGCGAGCAAGTAAAACCAAACATGATGAAGTGTGAAAAGATTTTGTGCACTTACTGTATGACACTGTGAAACCTCTCAAATCCAAGCTCCTCTGTAGCCAAAGCAGCTATACACACACACCATGCAAAAACACAAATGCATTTAACAAGAGACATCAGTCTATGGTAAATTAGTTGTAAGATCATATTTGTAATACATTATTACTAAAAACACTAATCACAGCACATTTACATTAGCATGTTAGGTCAAGCCATTTACACTTACGCATTCACAGTCAGAGTTAAATTATTATGTACCAGTGTTAACTATTATATACCAGTGTTATGTGTTATTTAAACACTTGTCGACTATTTGCACAACACCCAGAATGAGGTTGTTTGTTTATTGCTGCATCAACAAAGATCAACATAGACTAAAATAAAAATATAATAGAATATAAGCATGTTACATAATATTAACTTTAATAACAACTTCATATTTCAATAAGAGTTGATATAATTTATTAATGAACATAAAAATAAAATTAACATAAAAACATCAGATTTTTTTTTCAGTTCAATTCTTTAAATTCTTTCTAAGGATCCCAGAATGAGTATGAAAGATTATCTTACTTGGTGTGTCAGTAGGCTGGCTGGACTCGGGCTCTGGGTGGCTGTCTGTGATGTCGCTGTTGTCTGTGGTTTTAGCGTGAGGCCAGGTGACTAGGTGAAAGGCCTGTGACTTATTGAGGCAGGCCAACTCCAGGATCTCACTGAGGGTAGAACACAGGACTGTCCGCTGCTCTTCCTCTGTGAGGGAACACAGCAATGTCAAGCCATGAATTCATTTTTGTATGATTAAAAATAAACATGTAGGGCTGCAAGATATTGGAAAAAATGAAATTGCGATATTTTATTTTTCTGCAACAAAATTGCAACATGAATAGTTTCACAAGATTTAAACAGCACTATTTGACCATGTTCTGGGGAGTATAACAGTATTCAGGAAACCGAATGCAAAATAATCTATAAAGCAAAAAAAAAAAAAAAAAAATCAATGCAAAAAAAAAAGAAAAGAAAAAAAAGATTTTCTCATGCTGCTTTGTTTTGTTTCTAGTCCAATTTTTTTTTTAAATCTTAGATTGAGTAAAAATATTGTTCTGTGTTCAACTTCAGAAAGAATAAGGCAAAATTGAGAGTTTTTTTCTTAAAACAGGCAAAAATCTGTGCCATTGGGGAAAGTAAAATAATCTTGTTTTGGAAACTTTAGAAACAAGACAAAACTTTTTTTAAAAGTATGATTTTTTTTTTTGCATAAATCATATAAATTTAGTATAAATACAGTAATTAAATGCAATTCTGTAGCTACTGGTCAACTATGATCCAAACTCAACATTGCATACCTTGCGATGTGACTATTACGGATACACAAATTGTGACTATTGCGGATACACACATTGCGATATCAATGCTGAAACTATATATTTTGCAGTCCTACATGACGATCAGTTTTGCTGCTTGCTCATGTGTTGGAGGCCTGCTCTGTTGAATATATCTACTAGAAAATATTAAAATGTTAAAAGAACATTAAAATATGCCAGCTTTGCTTGTAATTAAATTCATTTAACCCATATCAGCCAATTATATTAGAGATTGAAAATTAAAAATGAAAATTAAGTGAATGTTAAACCAATCGTAAAAATGGGTATTTTAGAAACCTTAAATTCGAAGGCAAAAAAAGCAAGATAGCAGTTCAGAAGTAATTTTTTGATGACGTATGCAAAATTTTGAGAATACCAAAATATGCACAACATACTAACGAGGATGACAGCCATGACATCTAAATAAATAAAATCAGTTAAGCAATAAGTCAAAAAACAAAGGGCCCTATCATACATCCGGCGCAATGTGGCGCAAGGCCACATTGTTTGCTAGTTTCAGCTTGGCACAAGAGTCATTTTGACGTTTAACGCCACGCTGTTTAAATAGCAAACACATTTGTGCTCATATGTGCGCCCATAGGCGTTCTGATTTTAAAAAATGAGGCGTGTTGAGGCACATTGCTGGTGCGTTGCTATTTTGAGAAACTATAATAGTCTGTTTTATAGACTAGAACAAAGCCTGTCTATTTTCCAGCTCAGAGCACTTTAGTTGTGTGCCTCGCTTACACACTGCTTAATACACACAAGATGTAGAGCAATACGCAAATATCTTTACATATGAAAAAGAATTCAAATATTAAGGATATATATATATATATATATATATATATATATATATATATATATATATATATATATATATATATATATATTTATTTATTTATATATAAAGGATATAAATATAAAGGATTAAAATTTTACAAAACATTATTTTCTAGCCTACATAAACAAAAAAACATACTTTCATGCCTTCTTTTTCTCGGGAGGCTTTTTCAGTTCATTCATGACCATTTGGTTTTGTATAATGTTATAATTGTATAATTATTATTAGCAATATTATTTATTATATGCGAATTTATATTTGTTTTTTTTTTAAAAGCTAAGCTAAGATTTGCCCACCCGTCAGGTTTTAGACCATATGGGGCACAGCATGTGTATTTGGATATAACTCAGGTTTTTAAACACACTCTGTTATTATTGTTCATTTATTTGTTTGCTGGAAATTAGAACTGAATTTAGAAATAGTTTTGAAACAAATATTTGCGCTTAACAAATGAAATTAATTATTTATAGGCTAATTGATGTCTGTGTGTACAAGCTTTCCCTATTGACCTTATTCTAAAATGCGGAAGTGCGCCTGTTTTCGCGATTGTCTTATAACTTCCGTTTCAGTCGCCTATGGGAGAAATGACAAGGAATAATAAACGGCAAAAAACGGTTAAACTACTTGCTCTACAAACAAATGTTTGCATGACTATACAGACCAAGTAAAATAATATAACAAGGAAATATCAGTTTGCAACATCAAACAGCGAAACGAGCAGTTTTTAATGTCTAAAAATGAATGGAAGTGAATGAGACCGGAAGTCTCGTGCCAAAAAGATTCAAATGGCAGCGCCCGCTCGTCTGCGGAGAATAAGGTCAATACACGAGAGCGAAAGTGAAAGTTTATCATTTGTCTCATTCTCATGGTGTAGATCAGGGATCACCAATCTCGGTCCTGGAGGGCCGGTGTCCCTGCAGGGTTTAGCTCCAACTTGCCTCAACACACCTGCCTGGATGTTTCAAGCATACCTAGTAAGACCTTGATTAGCTTGTTCAGGTGTGTTTGATTAGTGTTGGAGCTAAAATGTGCAGGACACCGGCCCTCCAGGAACAAGTTTGGTGACCACTGGTGTAGATGCTCTGTTTAACTGTTTTCTTGCTAGTGAAATGCTTAGTTTTTCCACTTACACTTACTTTACGTCATGTAAACAGCAAATGCGGTATAGCGCAATGCAACTGACTCTTAAAGGGAATAGGAGATGAGACTCTGATTTATGATGGTTTATTCTCAAAACCCACCTCATTAAGAAAATAAGCTCAACCCCTTTTAGACAATGGGCCACGACTCAAAGCGGATTTTTCCGTCCTTAAATTAGCAAAAGTGGATTTTGACATGCCCCTAATACGTTTGCACCCTGCACTTTGCGCATAGATCGTCAAAATAGAGCCCAAAGTCTTACACAACAATTCTGTGTTTTAAATTTCAAGTCATTTTTCAAATAAGGGTCTATAGCGGGGGTGCCCAAACTTTTTCTTATGAAGGGCCAAAAACCAAACTTGATTGAGGCTAATAGGTTGGAGGTAAATATAGCTGCCTAATTTGCTAATTTATTAAATAATATATTTCAAAATGACTAGGAAAGATTGTTTTACAGCAACTAATATAGTATTTTTTTACATTTAATACTTAATTTATTAAAGTAAAAACAAAAAAATCTAATTTATAACAGATTTACACTAGTTTTTTTGCTTGATATGCTAACTGATGTATTTTGCATAGTCTTCTATGCATGACAGTATTTACATTTTAAAAAAAAAAGCTGATTCATTTACCAAATTTACCCAACCCTCTCCATCCTTCTAACTTCCCTCAGATGTGATGGTGGCCAAATTAAAGGTTACAATGGGCCAACTTTGGCCAGTGGGCCCCACTTTGGGCATCTCTGCTCTATAGTATTATGAATGTGAAATAAAAAAAATATATAATTTTTTTTAGAATGGTACTACACAGTAGTAAATCTCAACCTTATTTACCATTAGGTATACAGCAATTTTCCAGAAGAATATGAAGAACACACTTTTAGATGCATAACATGAATGGATTTAAAAAGGACTGGGAGTAGGTAGAGATATTCAGTCATAAAAACACCTGTCCCCTGTGTTATTGAGTAAATCTGCACCATAATGTAAAAATCTGACATTACAATATTAAGTTTTTCTGTGATACGAATACAATTTCACCAGATCACTTGAAACAATCTATTCTGCAATGTGACTATTACGAATGCGCACATTATGATATTGATGCTAAAATTATATATTGTGCAGCCCTATTATTGAGTATCCAAAACAGTAAGGTGGATTGAAACAATGCAGAGCAAACCTGAGATATCTTTCCAGTTCAATCCTTCAGTGTTAAACAGAATATTCTTCAACAGGAAAGCCTGAGGGACACAAAGTAAACAAAGTTAACTAAATAAACAAAGCACATGAAAAAAAAGTTAAAATTGCATAGTGTGCATTACATCAAAACTAAGCATTATATAGAAAATATGCGTTTTGCAAAAAAATAAAATAATAACATTTTATAAGTTGAGGCATATACAAATTTGAACATTCACAAAAGAGAAGCACATTCAAATGAATATGTAAATAGTTGCTGTGCACTTTCCACTCATTAGGAAAACAAACAGAAGAAAAATGAAAGGAAGATGAAAACAGCAGGGTAAAAAAAAAAACATTTCGATAAAATGGAAACTAAAATTTGAAGTGACAACCAAAAATCCTAGATATTCTATGACATGGACAAACAAAATAAATAAACAAATATAATTCTGTGACTTTCAATGAGAGGAATAGACCTTTTAATATTCCATGATATTCCAGGAATCCCACCATGACCCGTGGGAGGCCTGCAATTATTTGATGGAAAAATCTCAAATTGTAAGCCATTTAGAAAATTGGTTTAAAAGTCCCAGAAGGTGTTTATATCTTATTAAAGTGTATTTGGAAGAATGTTTTGTAACCTAAACAACTGACATTGGCTAAATAGTGAAAATAAATCATTGACTTTTGCTCTGTCCATTAGTTTCAAAAACACACATTTCTTTACAACACAAAACATTTATATTTTAAAACCCTTACATATACCTTGGGAACAATTTAACAGAAAAGTTTAGTGGTTTTAAAACCTTGACTTCTCCAAACCATGATAAACCTTGAAACTGGTTATTGTCCTATGCCTACATTAATCTAAACAACAGAAAATAGGTTCAGAATGGCTCCAGTTCCCCAAGATTTTCCTTTAATTTGTCACCTGTCTATATGTCATATCACTACAATGCAGCTTTTATTTTAAGGACTATACAAAGGTGTGGATGTAGACATACTTTGTTGCTGACTAATAGTCATAATTACTTATTAAGAGAAATAATACGCCTAAAGAGAAAGCAGATTAATACCTGCACAGGTGCAATGACAGCACATGGTCCACCTTCAAACTGCTCCAGCGCAGAACGCTCAGTCTCACTGAACACAAAGCCTGTAGAAAGCAATGCAGCAATCACAAACCTCGTGTCACATGTCTTTGTTTAGCAATGCATCACAATTCATAACAGGGCAAGCAGTCAAAGTGAAGCAACATGGACTTGGCACAGCTCTTTGCTGAGCACTGCAGAATCGTTACATTACCAGTAATGGATGTACAGTCAACTACGGGAAAATAATTATCATAATAAACAGTTGCCTGTTCCTCTTGATTTGATTTTTAGATATGGATTTAAATAAAATAATAAAATTTGTTTTATTCTATAAAAAGCATACAAACATTACAAATTTCAAATATATGATAAACATATTTAAAATGACAACTGGTAAGAATAACAAATGATTGAAAATCAGGGTTATTCCAACATATATAGATTTTTTTACCCTGATGTTAAAACAGTGATATTGTTTTGTCTAAACATGACATTAAACGTCTGGAAACATGTCACTTTTTGATTTTTTTTGCAACAAAAATGTTACAGACTACATTTTGTAATGTAAGTAATGAAGAAATGTCATCAAGCATGAAATGTCATTATCATTTACTCAAATGCATATCTATAAATTGAGTAAAGTGGTTATGCAATATCTGTAACTTTGAAACTGACACAACCTAGCATTACTAAGCATTTAAGGAAGTCTCAACAGCTCTTACCTTGAGACCACCTGCGGAACAGGGATGCAGGAACTCCTCCACCGCTGGGTCTGCCCCACACCAGATCCACCACTTCTTTATTCGTATCTGACATTTTTGCTCTCGGTCGTCTTTAATGTTGACTCAAAGCATGCATCAAGACCAGTGGACAGCCTTGTGACAGCTAACCGCTGTAGTGTACTCGACGTGGCTAGCGCACTCCTCCTGGCCTGCTTCTGTATTCCGCTGAATCTTACAAATGTGGTTTTGGTGAGCAGGTGGCATTTGCCACGGATGCGCTACCGATGCGTAAACTGTCCCGTCAGCAATGAATAATCTCGCGCCAAAACCCTAAATGAACGCTAGCCTTTGAATACGACAGCACAGCACAACAGCTCATACAATTTGTACCTGAAATGAATGCTGTCTTGTGGGTTATCCGACACTGGGTACCTTAATTCAAGGTTTCTATTCTGTCCGTTTAACGTTAACTGGACAGGCCTGGTATGTCCTCAGTGAAGAAACTCACTCAGCAGCTCAGCAGACGGTTTTAACCGCTTGCTACGTTTTCTAACGTCCAAAACAAACGTTTAGCTCGTTCCTCCGACAGCCAATTCTAAGAGTAGCCAACGGCTGTCAGTTGCACTCCACAACACCTAGAAAAAATAGGAAAAAATCAATGAAAATTGCTCGTTATGGGTAAAGCAGACCGCTCTGTGGTCCATTCAGTTTATTTACTACGTGCCTCCACCTCAAGTTCGACTTTTGTGAGAGATTGGTTCAAATCGAGAAGGTTCTGGTGACGCCTGGCGAGGCAGAGATTCGATTGGCTAATCTGCCCATCAATCAGATGGCAACGCGGCGATGTAGCCCGCCTACAGTACGGAGGCTGAGCTTGAATATAGTGAACTGGGCTAAGCAATGTTATATAAGAAAGAGATTAGGCTGCCATAAATTCTTAAAATACCAACTGCGAAGACGGCGCTCCCATAGAGGGTATAGTGATTTATTGGAGCCAGTGTTACTTCGTAAACTGCAAGGTGCACAGTGTTTAAATGGTCAGAGCAAAAATCTGTTTTTCTTTTTGAAAGTAGATGATGCAAACTGGATTAAAAACAATTTGTTTTTACTGACCCCAAATATGTTCATCTATGTGTCAGGGATCCCCGTTTATAAAATGCTCCTAGTTTATAAAATAATCAAAAACTTTTTTGCTGTTGCTTTAGAAATTTTTTATTAATTTTATAAACTATTTATGCAAGTACTATACTTTTCTTGTATAAATAGTTTATTCACAAAAGTTACATTTAGTAATTATCTAATCATCATATATAGTTTTTTTGTTCGCTTCTTTTATATTTTTTTATTATTTTAATACAATTATGGTTTTAAAAAACCTTTACCCCATTTCTCCAAGCACATAACTGACTTGTTTACTTCATTTAAAAACATTTGACTCATGTCCTTTTTTATTATTACACCCATATTTGGTGCTATACACTTCTTAATAGTTTTTTTTTTTTTTTTGCAATCTGTCTGTTTGTGCAATTTAAATGACACTTTTACTTGCTGACAACAGCAAGTTGTCACTTTTAATTTCTCTGCAAATATTTTAACCGATTTAAAGCGCAATTTAATTAAAAAAAATTTTTTTTTACATTTTTTTCAATTTTTACTCCATTTACTTTCAATCTTTTATAATAATATGCAACAAGAATTTCAGAGTTTTGTGAAAGCAAGTCAAACGAAACATTTTTTTTTATTAACAAGAACAAGCATGTACAGTTTTCTTATACAATACAATACAATCACTTTACATTTCTTAACAAGAATGAAATAAGTGAAAAAACAAAGGAGAAGAGAAAAAAACAGAGGAGAGGGTACATGATTATCAAATTACATACAAATATGTTTCGCACATTTTATAATTTTAGTTATTTACAAGAGTTAGTAATGCACTTTTTTTTTTACAGGAAATGCATATATACAAACAGTTTATGTAAAAATGTTAAAGGAGGAGCATATATTAATTGTTTTAATTGCTTTTCTATTTTGAGAAATCTCTTTTATATACATTTGAATCTCTTTTTCTAACACCATGAAGAGAGGTTTGCTTTTGGAAAACTTGGATTTATGTATGTGAAATTTACATAATAATAAAATAAAATTTATAATAAAACCAGCATCTTTTAAAGAGCGATCCTTAACATAAAAACCCAACATCACATGTTTATAAGATAAGGAAAAGGTTTTTAAGATATTACGAGCAATAAAAGCTTCAACATTGATCAAAATAGTCGAGTATATTGGCAAGACAAAAATAAATGTGAAATAGTTTCATTAAAGCTTTCGCAAAAACAGCATTCTAACTCAATATCAAGTCAAACGAAACATCTGTACAACAAACTCTTTGAGACTTTTATTTTGTTAAACATGTGGTGACCCAACAGGAAGTCGTTCCATCTGATTCAAGTTTCAGCCCATGCGTACTTTCACGTTGACAAGTGAACGATCCTTCACATAGCGGAGTCTCTTCCTAAACAAAGTGAGATTAATACATATTTTATCATCTAACAATGGGTGGACAAGCAAAAGCTAAGAAGAAAATCAAAGCCAAAAGAAAAGACACCAAAGCAGACGGAGGTATGTCTGTTTTCAAAAGCCATGTGTTAAAATGTGTAACGAAAAAAGGCTTTAGAGCATGTTATGTGAAATGGGTCAAACATTAAGCACGTTTCTTGATATAGAATGGACACTGTTAGGGTCACCGCTGCGTGTTTTAGCAATAACGGTTCGATGTAAACATAACACTGTCCACGTGATTGTTTTTAAGCCATGTGGAGATAACTGTGATTTACAGTTTGTCTCAGTCGCTTTGGTACTTTACTCAGATCAGATTTCTCAAAACTATCTGTTTAATCGTCACATCGTTGTGTCACTTGTGCACATCAAAACAGCAGTTTCTCATTCCATTGAACAAGTTGCAAATGCTTTTGTACATCAATGCAAATGATTATGTGTAATTCTCTACTGTTTCCTACATTATCAGTTGCTTATTTCATGTTGATCAAACTCGATTATTTTGGTCTCTGTTTAATAGTTTGAGCCCCCAGAACATTTAATCATTTGCTCATGGCTTAAGTCTTTAAATGCAAAATGGCTAAACAAGTTGTCATAATATTTTGTCATAATGCATTTTTTTCTGAAGGTTTCCATTACACTTTTTCCTAAAGCTGACTAACGTTACAATTAGTGAAGTTCTCACCTTGACTTTCTATAATGAAGCTGTATCTCAAAGGATGCCCTATGTCACAGGTGTCAAATCCAGTTCTTAGAGGGCCGCAGCTTTGCACTATTTATTTATATGATATGAACTTTTTAGATTGCTTTAGTACAAATTGTGTATAATAGAAATGCACAATATGTGACTTTTTTAAAGCAATAATACATTTCAGCAGTCATAAACATGTTTTGATAGTTATGCCAGTGATTTGATGCTTCACAAAAGTTGCAGACGCCTTTACCAATATGAAAACGCTTTTGTAAACAACCAGTTATTCTTTACACCGATTAAAAAACGGCTACTACAATAAAGAAAATATTTTCTAAATGTGGAACTAAATACATTGATTTGCATTAAAATGCATGATGAATACACTTGACACATGAAAGTGGAAAGCCTGCAGGGGTCCGTTCTTCGTACGTGGATTACTCAGTTAGCTGGATTTGGATATTGACGATTTGACACGATCCAGGATCGTTTTGTTCTTCAAAGCTGATCCGAGAGTTGTTGTCATAGAAACAGTTCTGCTAGGTCAAACCTGATCGGGAGCAGGTTCAATTCATATAAACAGGATTAGATTGGCTCAGTTCAAGCAAAGATAATACAGAAAGTATGTTCCGAATTCTGATATTTTCTTAAAGTAGTAGTTATATACACTTAGGAAAATGGTACATATTTTTTAACTATATATATATATATATAAAGTTATAGTCATTAATAAAATAAATTAAGTTATACATATTAATAAAACGTATGCAATCTGCACCCTCGAAATGAAAGTACAAAGATTGCCACCTGGTGGTGCAAAGAGAAAACTTATTCATATGAACTTTTTAGATCGCTTTAGTACAAATTGTGTATAATAGAAATGCACAATATGTGACTTTTTTTAAAGCAATAAAAAATCTAGGATTCGAGGATCGATAGATCTGTCCTTCACAACACACACAGCGATCCCAGATCAGTTTATCCAGACATTCTAATCTGATTCGCGAACTTGTTTGAAGAACCAAATTAGCGAGAGTTCAGTTATCAAGATTAAAAGATCCGGGATCTGCCAAATAATCTTAGATCATTTAAGCGAGGTACGAAGAACGGACCCCTGCTCACAACAAATGTGGAAGGTTATTGCGTGTCATATTTAACAAGTCGTTTACTGCTAATTTGATGTAATTTTGCTCACATGCATAATTGAATATTAATCAGATGATGTCATTACGCTGCTGTGCCGTCAGCCAATCGTTGCATTGCTGATCATGATTTCGAGGATCGATACATCTGTCCTTCACAACACACGCAGCGATCTCAGATCAGATTATCCAGACATTCTAATCTTATTCGCAAACTTGTTTGAAGAACCAAATTAGCGAGAGATCAGTTATCAAGATTAAAAGATCCAGGATCTGCCAAATAATCTTAGATCATTTAAGCGAGGTACGAAGAACGGACCCCTGGAGTTGACTCATATTTGTTGTCAGATGTCCTATCTCCTATGTTCACATTTCTATTTTTGTTTTTTGTTTTTTCTTTGTTCTATGCAGTGCTGTCTTTGACATGATCTGTCAACAAATTACAGTACAAACAGCAAAGAAAGTTGCCATAGTTTACATCAGAAAACCCTCAAAATCAAAAAATATTGCATGGTCCATCTGGTTCAAAAAGTGTTGAAAGGGGGTCCACAGAAAGTAATTTCAGTGCTCGGAATATCATTTGTGTGCTTAATTTTTTTCTGTTGTTGTTGTTGCTTAGGTGCACTGATGTCACCACAGGAGAGAATGAAAGCAAAGATGCACGAAAGGGCTAAAAAAAAAACAGCTGAAAAATATACTGTTGGTCAGTTATTGCAAAAGGTAATATAATGTGGGTTGAAACCACTAAAATGGGTTATTTGTTTATTTTTTGAAAGAGGTGTTTTCTGCTAACCAAAGCTGTATTTAATTGCTGTTTTAAAAACAGAAGTAATTAAAAACAAAATAATTGTCTTCTTTCTGAACACATTTTAATATGAAGAGTTTTCTCAGTGCCATTTGAATTTTCACCTAAAATTATAAATTTTTTCATGCTCCTGTGTGTAGGTTCAGGGTTAATAAACTTTAAGGACAACAAATAGGTTATTTTCATTGATTATAAAGTGAAATAGCTCAACATAAACATAGGAGGCTGAGAAAAATGCCCATTTTCGAATTAACTGTCAGCTGGCACTTAGAGGTTTTTACATTTGAACTCTTCATCTATTCAGTTAATTACTGGGGTACAAAGCTGAATAATCAGGATTCTTTGATGAATTTCTATGATGCAAGTGCAAATAGGGTGCATTTATTTAAATGAGATATTTTGTAACAGCATAAATGTGTTAATTCACTTTGATTAATCTAATGAAATATTGTTGAAT